CAATGGGTTTTGTGTTATATAGTTATTGGTTTTGAAGGTATTGGTTCTAAGCAATCAATACTATCAAGACTTTGTATGAATATAGTTGTGTTGAGCTGTAACTAATGTGAACACAGTTCCACAAAGAACACGTGAAGTGTGAAAAAAAGAAGAAGAAAAATTTAGACTACGTGTGTTCTTGATTCCTACCCGCACGTAATTTATCAAACCAATTTTCTTGCAGTTTCATGGAGATTTATAGGTTATATATTTTCTTGATTTAAGAAAAGATATCTTGTAGTGTAGGAAAGTCATGCACTTTGTATCTGTAATGCAAGGATTCAAAGATGTTTGTTTTGTTCACGTCGAAATGAAATTTTATATCACCCTAATGCTTATTCCATCATGGTAATTAAACAAGTAACTTGTTTGCTTTACTCCAAAATTGCGAATTCTCCTTCCTTCTACCTTTAGACTAACTGATAATTTTTGTAATAGAATAGACCCGTAAACCATGAAAGTCGTCATATCATTGTTGAACTCGAGGGACCTCTCACGGCTCTTCCTCGGAGGTTCAGAACTAATAACTTTTTGCTATTTATATTTTATTCATTATGTTTCTAAAAGAACCACTATTTTTCAAAATGTTCTATAAATACCACTATTTTTCAAATGTTTCATAAATACCGCAAAGTTGAAGTTAACTTTCAAGATTCAAAACTAAACCCCAAACTCAAGGCCTACCCTCTGAAACTAGAAAAATTCTTGGACTCATCCCTAGGTATTGGTTACTTGAAAGTCTTGGTTGTAATTTAGGAACATGACTACTGAGATTGTTGTAAGACAAGTCCCTGAATTTCAAAAAATAAAACTTCAGACAAAAAAAAAATAAAGACAATCTTGAGAAGAAAAGACAAATTTTTGAAATATTTTAATTAGTAGATTTACATAAATTACTAATGATTGTATATATGTCTATTTTTATGCTCTCATATTAGGGTTTATGCTCTTATATTATGGTTTATTACCCCCTTCAAATCTACTAAATTATTCAAATCAAGTGTTTTAAATCGTTCAATATTTACGTTCGTCTCTGAGAGTTTAGACTGACATCTTAGGGTTTAGTATTCCTTTAAATCCACTAAATTAGTCAAATAGAGTGTTTTAAATCATACAATATTGTACGTTCGTTTGTGAGGGTTTAAACTTCCATACTAGGGTTTAGTATCCCTTCAAATCTATAAGTTTAGTCAAATCGAGTGCTTGAAATCATATAATATTTTATGTTCGTTTGTGAAGGTTTATATATGCTCACATATTAGTGTTTAATACTCCTAAGTTTTTAAAGAAATTAATAAGAAAACAAACATTTTAAAATATTTTATGAACCCACTCTTTATTTTGATTAAAATGTAAAAAGTAGACATATATACAACAATTCATAATTTATATAAAATACATATTTTAATTTAATTATTTTTAATGATTTACTCTAATTGTTTAATGTAT